TGACAAACCAACAGCCAATATCATACTGAATGGGCAAAAACTGGAAGCATTCCCTTTGAAATCCGGCACTAGACAAGGGTGCCCTCTGTCACCACTCCTATTCAATATAGTACTGGAAGTTCTAGCCACAGCAATCAGGCAAGAAAAAGAAATAAAGGGTATTCAAATACAAAAGGTGGAAGCCAAATTGTCTCTATTTGCAGACGACATGATAGTATACCTAGAAGACCCCATCACCTCAGCCCCAAAACTCCTGAAACTGATAAGCAACTTCAGCAAAGTCTCAGGATATAAAATCAATGTGCAAAAATCACAAGCCTTTCTCTACACCAATAACAGTCTTAAGGAGAGCCAAATCAAGAATGAACCGCCATTCACAATTGCTACAAAAAGAATAAAATACCTTGGAATACAACTCACAAGGAACATAAGGGACCTCTTCAAGGAAAACTACAAGCCACTGCTCAACGAAATCAGAGAGGACACAAACAGATGGAGAAACATTCCATGTTCATGGTTAGGAAGAATTAATATCGTAAAAATGGCTATACTGCCCAAAGTAATTTACAGAATCAATGCTATCCCCATCAAGCTACCATTGACTTTCTTCACAGAACTGGAAAAAACCACCATGAACTTCATATGGAACCAAAAGAGAGCCCGCATAGCCAAGTCAATTCTAAGCAAAAAGAACACAGTGGGGGGCATCACACTACTGGGTTTCAAACTATACTACAAGACTACAGTAATCAAAACAGCATGGTACTGGTACCAAAACAGAGATATAGACCAATGGAACAGAACAGAGGCATCAGAGGCAACACAACATATCTACAACCATACAATCTTTGATAAACCTGACAAAAACAAGAAATGGGGAAAGGATTCCCAGTTCAACAAATGGTGCTGGGAAAACTGGCTAGCCATGTGCAGAAAGCAGAAACTGGACCCCTTCCTGACACCTTACACCAAAATTAACTCCAGATGGATTAAAGACTTAAACATAAGACCTGGCACCATAAAAACCCTAGAAGGAAATCTAGGCAAAACCATCCAGGACATAGGAGTAGGGAAGGACTTCATGAACAAAACACCAAAAGCATTAGCAACAAAAGCCAGAATAGACAAATGGGACCTAATGAAACCCCACAGCTTCTGCACGGCAAAAGAAACAGTCTCTAGTGTGAATCGGCAACCAACAGAATGGGAAAACATTTTTGCAGTTTACCCATCTGACAAAGGGCTGATATCCAGAATTTACAAAGAACTCAAACAGATTTACAGGAAAAAAACAAACAAGCCCATTCAAAATTGGGCAAAGGATATGAACAGACACTTTATGAAAGAAGACATATATGAGGCCAACAATCATATGAAAAAATGCTCATCGTCACTGGTCATCAGAGAGATGCAAATCAAAACCACATTGAGATACCATCTCACACCAGTTAGAATGGCGATCATTAAAAAATCTGGAGACAACACATGCTGGAGAGGATGTGGAGAAAAAGGAACACTTTTACACCGTTGGTGGGAATGTAAATTAGTCCAACCATTGTGGAAGACAGTGTGGTGATTCCTCAAGGCCTTAGAAATAGAAATTCCATTTGACCCAGCAATCCCATTACTGGGTATATATCCAAAGGACTATAAATCGTTCTACTATAAGGACACATGCACACGGATGTTCATTGCAGCACTGTTTACAATAGCAAAGACCTGGAATCAACCCAAATGCCCATTGATGATAGACTGGATTGGGAAAATGTGGCACATATACACCATGGAATATTATGCAGCAATCAGAAATGATGAGTTCGTGTCATTTGTAGGGACATGGATGAATCTGGAGAACATCATTCTCAGCAAACTGACACAAGAACAGAAAATGAAACACCGCATATTCTCACTCATAGGCGGGTGATGAAAAATGAGAACACATGTACACAGAGAGAGGAGTACTAAACACTGGGGTCTATTGGGGGGAAAAGGGGAGGGCCAGTGGGAGGGGGAGGTAGGGAGGGATAGCCTGGGGAGAAATGCCAAATGTGGGTGAAGGAGAGAAAGCAAACAAAACACACTGCCATGTGTGTACCTATGCAACTGTATTGCATGCTCTGCACATGTACCCCAAAACCTAAAATACAATAAAAAATTTAAAAAAAAAGAAATATTTTGAAGCATTTTTGTGATAAAAGCATGTAAATAATCATGTTCTGCAAGAATGATGTATGGAGGCCAGATGGGAGGTGACTGCAAGGTAGAAAATGATGCTAACGTGAACCAGGATACTGGTAGGGTGGAAAAAAGTGAATGATGCAAGGGATATTTAGGAGGGAAAAATCAAAGAACTTTCTGTGTACTTGAAGGGGAAGAAGAAAGATAGTTTCAAGGCAGGCAACTAGATTTCTGGCTTATGCAACAGAATGGTCAGTAGTATCTGTTACCAAATCAGATAAACCTAACTGCAGATTTGAGGAGAAGAGTTCTTGAGTTTTATGTTGAAAGTGTTGAATTTATGATAATATTTGATATTAATGTGGGGATATCAATGAGGTTGTTGACCCTATGAGTCTGGAACTGAATTAGCATATGCCTTTAGAAGTCACGGCATGTACTGCTATAAAAATAAAGAAGAATCCTTTATGTACTTACATGAAAAGATCCTCAAGACATATCAATAGTAATTTTTAAGCAAGTTAGAAAATAATGTAATTATGTGACCACTTACATAAGAAAAAAAGAAAATATGTGTACTTGTATTGGCTTCATTTGCCTAAACACTTTCTTGGAAGATTACACAAGATACTAATGAAAGCAGCTGGCCAAGTGGAGTGGGAGAGAAAAATGGAGCCTTTACATTATATGCATTTTCATGTTTCACTTGAAAACACTCATTTTCTAAAAAGTCAGATAGAGGAGGATAAGCTATCAAAAAAGAATGGAAAAGAGCAACTGGAGAGGATGGAGGGTGTGTTGCCACTGATGCCAAGGAAGACAGCACCTCAGAAAGAAGAGAGCAGTTAACTGTCAAATCCAACTAAGAGGTTTAGCAAAATCTGTACTGGGAAAAAATATATACATCCACAGCAGGGAGACCATAACATTAGCAAGCAAAACACCAAGAACCCAATAAAAATTAATAAAGGACATAAAGAGCTCACTCACAGTAAAAGAAATACAAATGGCTTAAAGTGTGAAGAAATGCTCAACTCATAATGGAAAACATGCAATTAAAGTTACTGAATTCTATTTTCATTCATATTGGCAAAGATAAGAAAAACACTTATCTACTGTTGTAAGGAATGTAAATTGGTATTGCTTTTTTATACATAGATAGATGTGGTCTCACTATGTTGCTTCGACTGGTCTCAAACTCCTGGGTCCAAGCTATCTTTTCACTTCGGCCTCCCAGAGTTCTGGGATTACAGGTGTGAGCCACCATACCTGGCCATTATTATTTTTTAAGAGGCATTTTGACAACCTGCATTGAAACAGTGTACCTAGCTTATGACTAATTAATTTCAAATGCAGAAATTTTCTATGTCTATAACAATACAGATATTTATAAGCATACATACTTGTTACAGACATATGTAATATGTGTGCATATGTAGATGTAGATGTATGAAACTATATATGTGCAAGGATGCTCTTGCAGCATTGTTTTAGTAGGAAAAGACTAACAATAATCAAATATGTATCAACATTGGACTGGCTAAAAATTATGGTACATCTAGAGAAATTGTATTTGTTGCAGATGCAGAAAGATATTTAGGATAGAACAGGTAAAAATTCAAGTGCAGAACAGTGTACATGGTATATATTCATTCTGGCAAATTAATGCATATACTTTTAATATTGCTAAAAGTATACAGAAAATATGGTCCTAATGGATGCATCTTGAAAGAGGATCTGAACACTGGGAAGTTTTCCCAACAAGAGGGATCTTTAATTTTTATTCACACTCTTCTGTTCTGAGTTTTATTTTTATCATAGCCACATATTGCCCCTTCTATTAAGGAAAGAAAATAGCTAACTTTTAAAAAGACTTTTTAAATTTTAAAGTGATCTACGGGCTTTGGGATCATAGTGGCGACCTTAACAAGATATATTCGAATGGAGTCACGAGGGAGGAAGGCACCTCAGCATGAGTGAAAAGTAAGAGGAAGATGAGTAGGTAAGAGAAACAGACACAAAGACTCTAGAAGTGTTCATGTGAATGGAGGAAGAGTAAAACAGTAGTAGCTGAAGCCAGAAGCATGGTCAAGAGAAGAAATCATTTTGTTTGTTTGAGTTTTGTTTTTAAGTTGGGAAAACTTAAAAATGTTAAATGCTGATGGGAAGGCTCTTGAGGAGGGAAGAGCCTTGGGAGGCAAGTCATTAATGGACTATATAAGTACCCCAAGAAGGTGGGAAAGGATGGTCTCTCAGGCACAGGGAGAGGACACTTCCTCCACTGGAATGAGAGGTCAGGGCGGGAGGCATTCACGGATTTATAGGGCAACCAACCAATCTGTTCTATGTAATTTTTTTCCAACAGTATCTAGAAACCTGGTGTAGGCATAAAGAAAGCCAGGAGTTGAATTGGGGCATTGACAAATGAGTACCAACGAAACATAAACGACAAAGGAGTTCATATTAAACAGACCCCTCCACCTTCCATCTCTCTTCCACCACCTTCAAGTTCCATCAGTATTCTCTATATACATTTTTTCACATATTCACAATTCATAAAACTTTGCATGTTGTTCTGACTAATTAGTCTTGAGTAAACTAAAGAGAGAAGAAAAATAACTTGAAAGGTTAGGGATTGGAACGGGAGAAAAGGGAAAGGACTAAATGGTTGAACACTGGTTACTGTGCTAGTTACTTACAAACTTGGTCTCATTTACTATGGACTAGAAAGTGACTATTTCCCGATTCTCCTTTCTCACAGATTTTTAATAAAGTCACTATCCCTCCCTTGATGAGACCATAGAATTAATAGAAAAACTCACCTGTCTGAGATCATATACTGTCAAAGCTATGGAAATGATGGACATGATTATAATGGCAAAAGCATATTCCTTATAGTCTTCACTAAACCACAGATAGACACTGAAGAGTTGAAATATATAAAATGGATTTAAAACCTGTTGGCAGACATAAAAACAGGAAGACAAGGGAGATTTTTAGGTTTCACACTTAGCTCTTTATTTACTTGTTTTCGTAATCATCTTCATGACATACATCATCCCACACAATATTCTTGCTATATTTATTCAGCAATCGACGTATGCGAGACACTGTTCTAAGCAACTGTACTTGAGTTTTCTCATTTAATTCCCACAGTTACCTTATTAACCAGAAGTTGTTACTTATCTCCATTGTGATGATAAAGAAACTGAATCTTAGATCTTGGGAAACATGTCCAAAGTCATGTGACTATGATTGCCACAGACTCAAGACTTAAACCCAGGCAATATGACACCAGAGCACTTACTATTTTTTTTTTTTTAGACGGAGTCTTGATCTGTTGCCAGACTGGAGTGCAGTGGCATGATGTCGGCTCACTGCAACCTCTGCCTACCAAGTTCAAGCCATTCTCCTGCCTGAGCCTCCCGAGTAGCTGGAACTACAGGCGCATGCCACCACACCCAGCTAATTTTTGTACATTTAATAGAGACAGGGTTTCACCATTTTGGCCAGGATGGTCTCAATCTCTTGATCTTGTGGTCTGCCCGTGTCAGCCTCCCAAAGTGCTGGGATTACAGGCATGAGCCACCACACCTGGCCCCCCAGAGCACTTTTTAAATCATTGCCGCACTTTATAATTTACAAAGTAGTGTCTCATGTATTGACATGTTGACCATCAAAATAGTTATTTTTAAAGTAGATGTTGTCATCTCCTGTTTACACTTACTGGCCTTTAGAAAGGTGAAGTATTAGTTCAGGTCTACAAAGTTAAAATACTTTTTAATCTCTTGTTCTCTATGATATAACACCTGCCATATTTGAAGCCTTTAAAGAACCTTAGATTAATGGGTGAGTTGAAAACTGCATGTTCTCATAAGTAGAGAGCTGTGCTAAAAGCAGTAAGCTATAATTGAGCATCTAGAACACTGTGGGAGAGAATAGCTATTAACTTCAACAGCTGGAATTTTGCTTTGGTCAAAAACATGTTGTGCCTTTACTTAAATTCCCTCTAGTTGGTTTCTCTCTGTCTAATACAGGAATGGTAATCCTTTCTGCTGGTTAGAGAAGCAGAACACAGAAACATTCCCTATTGGTTTGTTTTGCTTTCTTTCATGCTTGACGACTTGCTGGAAATCTTTTAAAAATACCTTAAGTTTGGTAAGCTTTTTTTAAGGCAAGGAGGAGTGGAGATAGAGCACAGGGAAACCAGAGTACAGCTAGAGGGCTATGGTTTGATAAGAATCACTAAAATGAAAAAATGAGGAGCCCAGTGATAGAGTCCAAAAGAAAAATTTCATCTTATACCTTGAGATCAACAGTATTAATAAGGCTGAATAAACGAATTTTTTTTCTTCCTACAAGTTTTGGCACCAAGGAAATTGCATCTGCTACCTAACAAAAGGATTGGCTTAAAAAAATATATTTGAGTTTTACAAAGTTAAAACAAGCTAAGCAGCATAGTATTAAAAAAGAAAAGAAACATTGTATTCATGCAGTCATTAAATGGTAAATAAGTATAATGAGTTTCACACCCTATATTACATAAGGCAATGTGCAAAAGAGTCACTGGAAGAGAAAGAATAAGCAAGAGATATCAAGAAAATATACTTGACATACTTTCAAAGTACCTTCTATATCACAGTTACTTATTTATTTTCTTTTTTTTTTTTTTTTTTTGAGATGGAGTATCGCTCTTGTTACCCAGGCTGGAGTGCAATGGTGCGATCTCGGCTCACCTCAACCTCCGCCTCCTGGGTTCAGGCAATTCTCCTGCCTCGGCCTCCTGAGTAGCTGGGATTACAGGCACGCACCACTGTGCCCAGCTAATTTTTTGTATCTTTAGTAGAGACGGGGTTTCACCATTTTGACCAGGATGGTCTCAATCTTTTGACCTCGTGATCCACCCGCCTCGGCCCCCCAAAGTGCTGGGATTACAGGCGTGAGCCACCGCACCCGGCCACAGTTACTTATTAACAAGCAGTACTTCTGATTGTTTCCCTAGAGCCAAACTTCATTATTTTCTATCCAACACCAAGAGAAAATACTGGAGAAATTACCTCCTTGATGAGCAGTTTCCAAATTGGTGTGACTTCAACATCGATACTATTAGGCCCACATATTAACCTCCTGTAGAAAGAAATCACAGCTCAATCAGTCACAAATAATAAAAATTAAACTCACTCCTCACCTATTCAGAAAAAGGTGTATTCCATGGTCACTTTCTCACTTGTGGGACAAACATAAGCCTCCCTTGTTACATACCATTCCCATCCTTCTCAAAATAATGGGAGGGAAGGGTTCCCAGGTGCAAAAACAAAAAATATGACCATATTGCTTCTAGAACTATACTCTTCCCAAGTTCTAAATATTTTTCTAAATAGTAATTTGGGTCTTTAATATTACGTATTGTCTTATTCAAGTAGTTTCAAAGTTGGCATATTCCCAACTCTGCCTCTCCTCAATTCCAGTTTTATTACTATAAGACAGCAGTGTAGTTAAGAGAAAATGCCTTCCTTGATAAGGAAATGCTGTTCCTGCTTTCCTACCCCTATTTAGAAGCTCTGGGAAGTTTCAGAATGTATTTTAATGTGAGTGCAAAGATTCTGTGATGTCAAAAATAGTTCTACACCCATAATTATTCAGCTTTTTAATTCTCTAAAACCCAGAGATGTGTTTCTCTGATTATGCGGAGGACAGGCATTTTATGAGTTATATGTTACTGTTGAAAACACTAACTGCTTTCTCTGCATCTTCTATCTCGATGCTCATCTTAAATCGCTTGGTCAAATACATGACAGCAATGCTTCTCAAACTTGAATGTTTATAAAGCTCACTTGGTGATATTGCTAAAATGAAGATTCCGATTCAATGAGATGAAAAGTGGTCTGAGGTCCTGCAGTTCTAACAAGCTCTCAGGTGATGCTGATTCTGCTAGGCTCTATAGCTCTTCAAAGTACTAGAAATGGGGAAGGAGGAAGCATGTGAATCACAGACACATAGAACAGCAAGGCCTTTAAAGAGTCCTTCTCGGCTGGGCACGGTAGCTCATGCCTGTAATTCCAGCACTTTGGGAGGCCAAGGTGGGCAGATCACGAGGTCAGGAGATCAAGATCATCCTCGCCAACATGGTGAAACCCAGTCGCTACTAAAAATACAGGGGAAAAAAAAAAAAAGCTGGGCATGGTGGCACATGCCTGTAATCCCAGTTACTCAGGAGGCTGAGGCAAGAGAATTGCTTGAATCTTGAACCCGGAAGGCAGAGGTTACAGTGAGCCCAGATTGTGCCACTGCATTCCAGCCCGGCGACATTACAATATTTTCTGATATTAATCCATTAACATAATTATTTACTGATCTATTTGGCTAACTGATAATAATCCTTTCGAATTACTGTAGGCAATAATATGCATGGTACCTAACATCTTGTTCTTCTCTTGTTAAGCCTGATCCAAATTTTTGATGTATCTTGGCAGAACTGAGCCAGTCTTCCAAAGAGCTAAAACAATAATAATGAAAAGAACATATTTAGCAATAATACTTTTGAGATAGCATTTTTCTTCTTTGTACTTGCTAAAACAACTTACCCAATTTTCTGGAACTGTCCTTCTAAGTAGTTCCAAACATATCTTATTTTCTGCACTTTTATGCATCTCACCTGCAAAAGAAAAGTACTAAGAAAGCCTCTAGTTTGAGGATCAGAGAATAAATAGCAACTCAGTGGCTAAAGAAGCATTTGTTTAAAAAGCAAAGATAAAACTCTAACATACTTATTTAAGATTTTATCCTTTGTGTTTCTATCACACAAATGACATTCTTTATTAGAAGTCATCATTCAATCAACTATACAGAAAAAAATACATGAATAAAACTTAGTCTCTGCATTCTACTACTTTATAAACTAAGAAGGATGAAAATTCCAAGAAAAAGACATACAGTCCCATATGTACATGTCAAAAAAATAAAAACATAATAAAAAATACCATCTTGAAATGCTGTAGCCATAAAGAGAGGGAAGATGATGGAAGGCATCAAGAAGGACATAATGTATGAGCTACAGTGTTGAAGGATTGAGAGACTTTTACTCAAATGAGAAAAAAAGAAACTATTTTAAAGAGATTGTTCACAAGTTAGTTTGGGGGAAGAAGGCAAGTGAGCATGCCCATTTGTAGAATGAAGAATGAAGCCAGAAAGATAAAATGAAACCAAAGTATTGATAGAGGAGTTAAGAAGAAATTACTTAGGCAGATAATGAGGGTACAGAGGTCCTCAGTAAGGTTTTTCTTTTAATGAAAAGCAGCTCCCAGTCATTTTCTTTCTAACAAAGAGCAGCCTCTAAAATTGAGCTCAAAATCATGTTCAAAAGGGTGACTCGCTAGAGAGAGAGCTGCTTTCCTCTTTCTTTTTTCTTTCTTCCTCTTTTGCCTATTAAATCCCTGTTCCTAAACTCCTCGTGTGTGTCTGTGTCCTAAATTTTCTTGGCACAGGACGATGAACCCGTGGTATTTACCCCAGACAACGTAGCTGCTTCAGTATGAGCAGCCTCAAATGCTAGAATGAGGTATTTGGGATGTTATCTCACAGACAATAGATTTGTGGAGTAACCTATAGAAGAGACACTGATACTAAAAATAAAAAGCAAGGAATCAAAACATACTACTAGAATAAATCACTTAAATACAAAGGAAGGAATGGGATGGGGATAACGGGATAGGGAAAGTTGGTTGATGATACAAAGTTAAAGTCAGATAGGAGGAAGAGAGGAAGAAAGGATCTGCAAAACAACTAAAAAATAATTAACAAAATGTCAGTAACAAGTTATTATCTATCAATATAAATGCAGTTTAAATTCCTAAGCTCCAAGATCCAGGCTACTAAAAATGAATGCTAACCCTAAGCAATAAGTGTATGTGCATGTACTGATGTGCACGCACGTGCACGCGCACACACACAGACACACACACACACCCACACACACACACACACAGACATTCAAAGTTACCAAGTAGGGTGTAAAATGCTGTCTTTTTTATTTTACAGAATGAATTTATTTCAGTGAGGTTGGCGGAAACATAATGCTTTTAAAAGTATATCTTATTTCCAATTGAGAGTGAAATTGACCATGGGAATGACATACAATCTCTCTCTAATTTGCAAATTTCACAATCTGCAAAGGAAATATTTTTAAGTGACAGGCTCTAGGGTGTGTTAGCCATTATGACACATATTGGAATCTCAAGCATCTTGCTTCACAATGTACTTTTCTCTTCAGTATTCTCTGCAGTTTTGCAAACAGAGCAGGATTGTAATCACAGCTACTATTATTGAGCATGTTCGGACTTTTCACACATTATGTTTCATCTTCTCCAACATCCTGTGATAGGGAAGATATTATTTTCCTCTTCACTTTGTACCTGAAGTTCATTTTGATTGAGTAACTTGCCAGGAATTTGAACTCCAGCCCATCTTACTCCAAAATTCAGTCTCTTGAAGGATATCATATTCAAGCTAGTCCCAAAAGAAAATTTGAAAATCCCTTGACTTCAGGATTCTAGCTTTAGAAAGTGATGGTTGCCTACTTATTAGTTATATAAATGCAAAAATCTTTGTTAGAAAAATTTTAAAGCACATATTGTGGTTCCAATGTGAGGCCCCTGCTAAGTTAAAGAATCTCTTATCAAGAGGCAGAAACCACAAACTGAGGTTGAAAAATGTATAAAACATAATAGATATGAAACATCTGTAGAAGAAAGCAGCAATAATGAGAAATAAATAGGTTACTGATAAGTTTTACCTCAGGCCAAAAAAGAGAAAATTCCATTATCTTCTTACAATTTCTTAAGCCATTCTTCTCACAGAGTGAGAAGAATGGCTTCATCCTGGACCTTTTAAGCATATTTGAGATTCCCCCAGGAGAAAACATCTCTGCCACGAGTTTATCTGCTTTCCCATCACTCTCAGAGTCTCTGGAAACTGGTAAGAGGATGTTAAGCACAATATTTGCAAGAGATGATGTTTATTTTTGCCTATTTCCTGGAAATTCAGACCAGGAAACAGCAATTAGGAAACTGAATATCTACTGTGGGGTGGATTTCATCTTTGCCCAGGAATCAGGAAGATTTCCTCTCCCTGGGCTTTCTGCTTATAATTTCTTGTTAGAACATGATATAAGAGCATCCTGTTCAACAGGTTAAGCACTGGGTGTTAGCTCTGCATGCAATCCTACAAGATGGTCCTTAGCATCTCCTCTTAGCCTATGTTCCCAAACCTGACATGGTTCTTTGCTGTAGTCTTCAGACTTCCTTTAAACCAGCGATCTTCAACCTTTTTGGCACCAGAGACCAGTTTTGTGGAAGACAATTTTTCCACGAATGTTGGGGATGGAGTGATGGTTTTAGACCATCAGACATTAGTTAGATTCTCATAAGGAGCACTCTAACCTAGATTCCTCACATGCACAGTTCACAACATTAGGGATTTCACTCCTATGAGAATCTAATGCTGCTGCTGATCTGACAGGAGGCAGAACTGAGACAGTAATGCTTCAGCTTACCTCCCGCTGTGTGGCCTGGTTCCTAACAGGCCATAGACAGGATACCAATTAGTGGCCCAGGGGTTGGGGACTCCTCCTTTAAATGGCCCTAAATGGTTATCATCTTGGTAATGTTGTTATTGTCATCAAGGCTGAGCCCATGACCACTCCTCTGACTTTAATGAAAGTTTTGTCCTATATTACTAGCATAGCTCATTGCAGTTCACAAATCACCTTAATATCCATCTTCTCATTGTATGTGCATAGCAGCCTTGAGAAAGGCAAAGAATAGTTATTACTTTTACTTTGTAAATAAGAGACTCAAGACCAGAGAGGCAGTAACTAACCAAACTGCCTATGCCATAGCTGGTAAATGAAGATTCTACACCTGGATATCACTCCCTTCCACTTCAAGACCCCTACCCCTCCTGCAATTCTGTGTGTTGACTTGGCCATTTATTCATTTATCTGTCCACTTATTTGATGCTACTAAATATGCTAGAATTTCAGGGCAATAAAACTCTGAGAACACAAGCTGATCTGGGAAGCTTACCTCTCCAGGTGAATAGACACTAACAGATTAGGCAAACTATTATGTGGAGGTATTTGACCTCCTCTGTTTTGGCTTATTTGGGCAGTTAAGACAACTGGGTGGGTGGGGCTCAGTGGCTCATGCCTGTAATCCCAGCACTTTGGGAGGCCAAGGCAGGAGGATCACCTGAGGTCAGGAGTTTGAGATCAGCCTGGCCAACATGGTGAAACCTCGTCTCCACTAAAAACACAAAAATTAGCCAGGTGTGGTGTCAGCTGCCTGTAATCCCAGCTACTTAGGAAGCTGAGGCAGAAGAATTGCTTGAACCTGGGAGGTGAAGGTTGCAATGAGCAGAGACAGTTCCCCAGCCTGGGCAATAAGAGTGAAACTTTCAAAAAAAAAGAAGACAACTGGGTGATAACAATTGACAATGACAATAGGAAAATTGCTCATCATTTACTTATATTATTTTAAATAACTGAACTTGAGCTCATAAAACTAATTTAAACAGCTGACTACACTCACATAAATGTAAGAGAAAATATCCTATCTTATAAAATGTTTTCAATATGAGTGTTAACTAGTCATAATCCAAACAGAACTAGTTTAATAGGGTGAAGAGGGAGGAACCCAAATACATTTGAATGACAAGAATTCAAATAAGGTCATTTTTGCAGACATAAGCAAACCTCCTGGGGTATTCCTGGGTGATTATCTTTACTATAAAATTAACCCTATTACACAGATTGTAAGATAGGGCATGATACTATTAAGAGCTAATATGTAAGAGCTGGGCTCAGTGGTACATGCCTGTAATCCCAGCTACTAGGAAGGCTGAGGCAGGAGGATCACTTGAACCCGGGAGTTTGAGGCTGCAGTGTATTATAATCACATGCTTGTGAATAGCCACTGCACTCCAGCCTGGGCAACATAGTGAGATCCTACTCTAAAAAAAGTAAAAGGAAATAGAGCAAATATGTATTGATCATCTACTATATACCTGGAACTACATTAACTTTTGTATTTGTAAATTTATTGAACTTTATTAAATATTAAAAGTAGACATTATTATCGTCATTTTTGTAGATGAGAAAACAGGCCTAACAGAGTTAAGATCAATGGTTTCACTATTTAGAAGGATGAAGCTGTGATTTGAACTGAGCTCTATCTGGCTCCAAAGTTCAAGTTTTAAATATACACTATCAAATGAGGATCGGCACCATGGAGGAGCTACATTTAACTTTACATTTTTTTGAGGGGAAAAAAGATTAAATCTCGCTGGCATCAGCAGTAGCCATAAGTTTACTTACCTTCAGGTCTGGTTTTCTTATAGCTCTATTTATGATATACTCCTCATCTGTAATGAGAGGGTGGTCAGCAGTGAGACCAAGTGCGCTGTTTAATGCTGACAGGTGGATCCACATTATCTTTTTCCAAGAGTAAATTTGAAATTCATCCTGAGGAAATAGACATCAAAACCCCTATGAAGTTAAGAGAGGTCATCAGGCTAAAATTCAACCTGAAAACATCATTTTAATATAATTCTGTAAGTGTTTGGAGTTACTGAACATTCTTGGCAGAATGGTTTGGCTCTGAAACATGACAAATATAGAACCTTGTGGGAAAAAGGCCTGTCATCATTGATTGAGGAACCTGATATGAAGATGAGGCACTGACACATAACAAAGCTTGAGAGTCAGGAGGCACATCCCCAGGTAAGACTAGTTCACTGCATCACCTTTTAGCCCATGGCCTGATGACCATCCCCATCTTTCAAGGCTTAACTAAAATTCAGCCTTTTACAGAACAGCCTCATTAACACCCTTCCACCAGGGGGAAGAAAAACTGTCACTTTGTTAACTCCAAAAAATGTTAACTGTCCCTCACTTTTTGCCTGTATTCTCCTAGTTCTTCTAGACTACCTGGAATGTAGAGACCAAGTTTTATTGTTCCTTATCTCCTCATGCATGTGGATCACTGAGACCTGCTCTGAAGAGTGAATGGAAAAGACTGAATCCATGGACTAAACCTGCCCAAGGTAATTGCCAAGATGATAGCACAGGTGGGGTTGAAGAAGGTACCTTACTGCATGACCCTAATTAAAATTACTTCCCTTTGCAGTTTACTGATTACTTCATCACAGAGTAAAATTAGAGGGAGAAGCACAGGATGGAGAAACACATACCACAATGGTCCCTTAGAGACTGATTTGATAATGACAGTGGTTATTATCTGAATGGGTAAATACTAAGCATAAAACCCACTCAGATGACTAATGAACCTCAGGATTTAAGAGGTATAGTAAAAGAAGTTAAACCCAGGAACAATTTGATGCTTGGGAAATGTAGGTCAGAACTGGGAACTGTCTCCACCACCACACCCATTTTTGCTATGAAGAGTGGCTTAGCTGACTCTGCAAAAGGCACAGATGGGAAGATAGAATCATTGTAGCTAATCTGTTATATTGGTTCTCCTCAAGAGAAGCCAATCTCTATGCCTTTGCTCCTTCTTCTTCCTTAGCCTGTAGTACACATTCTTCTCTCTTCTCCTTAAGTCTTCACATGGCTGGATTCTACCATCCTTCAGAGTCCAGCTCAGAGTCCATGTCCTGAGAACCTCCCTAATTCCTCTGGGTGATCTCTCTTCTAAATCGTCAGGGTACTTGAGATTCCTACCTTATTTTACTCTTTGCTTATGCACCTTACCACTTCTCTTGGATTGTGGGTAGGAAATGCGTATGACGCATGTTTGTGCTTCAGCCAGGCTTGGCACAGATTCTGTGTGTGTGCGTGCATGCATGTGCGTGTGTGCGTGCATGCGTGTGCACGTGTGTGTGTGTGTGTGAGAGAGAGAGAGAGAGAAGAGGAGAGGAGAGGAGAAAGAAGCCTACAAAAGGGGGAAATAACCTAAAAAGAAATTGAAACATTAATTAATTAACTGATTTTAAAAGCCAGTGAAATTGGCTGCTACCCTATGGATTAAAAAGAAGATGACTGAATTAATTCAAACCAAACTGTATGGAGTTAAGAATGATGAGCCTAAGAATGGTGGAAGAGAGCTACATTTTCGATGCCTAAGCCACTGAACTGGTAGACATGTCTAGGTATGGAGTAGGCAACCAACTCTCTTGAACAAACCTTGACATAGTTCAGCATTACATAGCTTTGCTTCTGACTTCCTCAAAGGGTTTTTTAAATGAGAACTTTCCATTTCTAACTATAATAGTTAATATTTATTTTGTACTTACTACGTTCTAAGCACATAATGTCACATATGTACTATTTCATTTAATGTCAAAAATCCTATGGAATCGTTACAGTTAATTATTCTCCTATTTACTTGGCATGGAAACAAAGACAGAATTGATAACCATGAGAGCAGGAACCTAACAGCCCCCACCACACTCTTACTTGCCTCCTTCAGAGTCCCCTCTTACCTTCCACTTTACTCTACATTTTGCTAAAAAATATAATTTGATTAGACTGCCATTTTTATGTCCAGCCTGAACTGAGGCTTCCAAAGAACACAGTCGCAATGAAAAATTTGGTTAAAAAATGTATAATTTGTTGGTAAACAGGAACACAATTATAAAACAGCCATCAAGACCAAGTCCTCTGGCCACCAAGTGAGGACAATCAGAAAGACGGCTGTTATTAACCATCTCCAGTGAATTAAAATAATATTAACAACTACTTTTCATATGACTACTTAGCAGTTTGTAAATAAATTGTTATGTTAAAGATATTTTAGGCTTACAATTCTCCAACATTGGTATTATAATTATTTCCATTTTGCAGATGAGAAAACTGACCATCAGCAAGGCTAAGAATTGCCCGAGCCTCTGAAATGGTAGTAGGAATAAAACTGAGACCTGAGTCCAGATCTTTCCATTCCAGATCTTGGTCCCTTCCTCTCTTTTTTAACAAGTTGTCTCATGGTGTCTATGGCTTGCATGTAAAAATCACCTTGAATTCTGTACCAAGTAACAAATAGTATCCGGTTTCTCACAGTCTCTGCTTTCCGGCAGCATGGAATCTAATTCCCGAAATCGAGCTGTCACTCTCTAGCCCTGTGTGGCAACAAACAGACTTCCAGACTGTAGTGCCTAGGAAGGGAAAAGCAAAGTGTCCATTCTCAAAGGCCATATGACTCCAGCGCACCAACGGTGTGCCTTAGTCTAGGTGTGCACTAAAAACTGACATTCATCTACACACCCACATCTTCTTACAGCTCATAACATTACTAAATCAAAGGCGCTTGGATATATTTGCTTTTAAGCTCACCTTCTGTCATTGGAATTCACTCCTAAGCCCAATAACTCAGAATTCTGTATGATACAAAGTAGAATTCTGTAGATAAAAATGATAGGGCAGCTAGATGACCCTTTTGCTTAGAATAGGGGAGTGACACTGACTTCTCTCTTGTATACTACCCTATTGAGGACTCTCAAATCACCCCATTTTTTTTAAGGGAAAAAGGCAAAGAAATGGAAGGAAAGTACACCAATGTGAAGTGATCACTTCAGGCAAAATTACGGACTTCTCTGTTTTCATTTTGAGGTTTTCCAATATGAAAAGGGCACAGGTTGAGGCCTGAACCCAAATGCCAGCTCTAAGCTGCCTTACAATGGTCTGAAGCTAATTTTCTTTATGTAGAAAATGGGGATAATATCACATTTCATGGATGTTTTTAGGATTAAATGAAATAATCCATAACATGTCTGGTCTAAGGTTTGGCCTATAGCAGAGCAGCAACAAATGGTATGGTTCTATGCCCCACTTTTCATAGCATCTTTTTTCTGAGATCTTTCTGTAAGTACGAACTTACTCTCCCTTTGAGGAAACTAAAAGTCTCTCAATTTTTCTTTTGTGGAAAAGCAGCATCTTTACCTGAAAATGGCTTTTTCTACTTTAGCGCGTTTCCCAGCTCTCTTCAAAGCAGGTAATAATTTGTAAAATGCTTAAATGTACCAGAGGAGCTACCATTTTAACTAATTGGTTTATAATGCAAATAATCCAAAGTGCTTGCCTGGCATATCTGGACTTTTTACACTTCAGGTCTCATTGAGAACACTTTACCTCCTCTTTATAGAAAATATTACCAGATCAGTCCATGAACTCTAAAAAAGTAGGTTTTACAAGAATTCAAGAGTACATTTCAAAAGTTGAATGTAATACAAAGAACCAGTGTTTGACCTGGACAGAAAAACAGAGGAAGAAACCTGAGCATTTTCTATTTTCTATGGCTTTGTACTTTCTGACCCTGGAAATGCCAGATGAAATTTTAGATTTGAATGAAGCAAGTCATCTTGTGATATGGTTTGGCTGTGTCCCCACCCAAATCTCATCTTGAATTTAGTTCCCATAATCCTCACATGTCATAGGAGGGACCCAGATTTAATCAGTGAGTTATCACATGATCTGATGGTTTTATAAGAGCCTTTCCCCTTTTTGCTTGGCACTTCTTGCTGCTACCATGTGAAGAATTACGTGTTTGCTTTCCTTTCCACCATGATTGTAAGTTTCCTGCACACCACCACCTAGCTATGCTGAACTGTGAATAAATTAAACCTCTTTCCTTTTCAAATTACCCAGTCTCAGGTATGTCTTTATTAGCAGGGTGAGAACACATTAACACATCTTGCTTACCTAATTTTACCCTTTTGCCATAAGAACTTCATCCCTTGAAATTTAAAAGCAATATAATGGTCACTTCAAGTTCAGGCCAATTCTATGATATCTCTTGCATAGCTCACTGCATAAAAAATGTAGTTCTGAGCTTGCCTTAAAAAGAACCCATTTCAAAGTTCCAATGAGACATTAGAAACTAAGTACTTTTCTCTTGAAGATGAATACATTGCAATGCTGAAAGGTTAAACTCTACCTAAGGTGAAATATCTAGAGGATTATGGATAATGTAATAATAACTTAAATTTCTCAGGTTATTCTAAAACACTGCACTGCCTTTACAGACCCATAACTTTGGAAAAATTATTTTATTTTTATACTTATCATTCCTTTCTTTCTCTTTCCTTCTCCTGGCCAGACTCACTGATGCTCTTAACATCCTGACCTCATATTCCCAGTGTTGTTTAGCTTAAAAAAAGTTGACATTGGCTAGGATATAGGATTTACTTATAAGATACATAAAGTTCTAAGTTTTGGAGAAATTCCCACAATAATTATTATCTCAGTATAGTTGTCCAAAAAAAGGGGAAGAGAGAAGGAAAATGCAATGAGATTGTCAACAAAGCAAAGGCTATGTTTATGTTTGTACACAAAACAGAGAAATCTAGAAAACTCAGCATACATTTTTGGAGAGATTGGGATTTGAGGCTTCTTCATTTTTGCAGTTGTTTTCTGAAGGGCAATGGAGCAGTGGATTAGCTGGTTCATTGTCTGAAACTTCTTGAGATGTAGTGTGTAGTAAAATATTGACCGATGCCCACGGAATGCCT